ACGAATGTTTAGCGTGTTAGTTGATGTGACCTTGCCTCACTTGGGTCAAGTGACACGTCATGTTCTATTTTAGGTTTCACACCCGGTCAAAGCAATTGGGGCGTTAGCACCAATCGTTTTGGTGGCACGCAGGTTGGGGCCTAATAAGCGAATGGCGATCGCCTCGGCTATAGCAAGTGTCCAAACTCGGGCCGCCTTCGATCGATTGAGCGGGATGCGATAAAAAACATTTAAAGTTTTCTCCAGTTTGACCTTGTACCCTGCGTCGACGAGATGACCCACCATTGGGATTGAGATATAACCGGTTTTTCCTTGACTTAACCATCACACGTGGTGCTCCTCAACGCGTTGAGACAAACGCCTCAACGTACGACCAATGTAACTAAATTCTTAAAGGAGTAAATTATTATGGATGAGGTTAGTTTCGGCGGTTTGCCTTCCGTTGCATTCGCATGACCGGTGATTTAGAGAACACCATTCTAAATTTGGCTGCTGGGAAAGTGGAATTCACAGTCGCTCTCAGTGATTGTACCAGGCTTTCTGTGAGTGAATCTCCCTTAAATGGGATTCTTATGAATTCTCTCTTGGGGACACAGATGGAGTTTTCTTTCTCCGGAGTGAGCCGCATATTCTTATCGATGAACTTTTCCGGATAGCCATTATCTTGCAGCGTTTGGCGGATGAAGCGTAATTCTTCACCCAGTGTGTCTGCTGAACAAATCTTACGGCCTCTGTTGGCTAGACAGCTGACTAGATTACGTTTATATTTCACAAAAACAAAACCATAGAAGTTGGTATATTGACCATTCCATGTTTTCTTTTTGTGGATCTATCTTGTTACTCATCCATCTTCTTTCCTGGACACGGCTACATCCAGAAAGGCCAATATGTTGTTCGTTTCAACCTCTACAGTTAATTCCAGTGATATATGTGCTTCATTAAACGATTTCAATGTCTGTGAGATGTCATTTTTGCGATCGGTCACGCAGAAGATATCACCTATATATCTATTGTAGTGTGATAGTACTTCAAGAGATAAGCTTTTATTTAGTGGAGCCATTTATTGTTTACCAAACACCTGGATATTAACGAGCTGACCATTACACACATTCATTCCACAACCTTACTTCTCTATTGTACAATGCGTTCACCAGAACACCACGATTTACAGAAAGGTAAATAAAAATGTGAATGGAATCACGCAAGTAGGTCAGAAAAAAAATGATAAATGTTTAGTCAAGAAAATTAAGTTTACGATCTGGGGAATTAGGGTCTTGATCATGCAAAATTATCAGAAATAACATGCGCTGCCAAAAGAAAATCTGTCTTTATGTATTCGTGACTCACCCCATTCCTTTATGCTTTGCAATGCTAAATTGGTACATATTTTCAAAGATTTTCACTCATAATTATAAACAAAATCCTGGATGACTGCTTTTGGAACTTCATCTTACCGAGATAGTCTTTAGTCACGCAAAACAATTGCTTAAATGCAGCAAGCTGGACAAATTACCATATGATGATTTTCCCGATAATCTTGTCAGTGTTCTTCGGAAAAATATTTTGGAAAAATTTCCAGGAGATATTTCTAGAAATAGATACCACTTGTAGTAGAGATAAGTCTTCTATCTCATTTTTAGTTGTTATTTATACAATTGTACAGAAACGTTTTAGGAATTCGGCTGTGGGTGTCTTGAAGAATACGAAAAATTCAGAAATCGGGTGATGGTGTCCTGATTTGACCTCAAATTGATTGTGGTTTCTGTTTGGGTAACGCTAAACTGTTCCTCAACATATCCTTATATCATTCAAACACGGTTATGACAATAACCAAAGCAATTGACAAACTAACTACCCAGCAAATTAAAGTCAAAAATACGATAAAGTATCAAACACATTAATAAAATTAAGAAGAAAATAAACCAGCTCGTTTTAAGTAAAACCTTATTCTTTCATATGTTTCACATGTACTCGGGGATACGCTTGTAAGTCACTCTCGATGAATCATGAATCTTCGGATTGGTAAGTGCAAAGTTTCGCCACTAATAAACTATCTATTATTCAAGAAATTGTTCCCGAGGACGCCATTTACATTCAGGACTGACGTTGAATCAGTCATAATTATGGTTGTTGCTGGATGAACTTAAGCGGCCAGTATTGTAGAGGATTGCTTTTTGATTGCTGGGGATTTTCGAGGATGTCTATTCCGTTTATAATGATAATAATACTGATTCTAATGATAATTATGATCACAAGCATCGGCATCATCAAAAACGTCACCGTCATATATTGACGGTGACTATCAACACCATCAACCTCGCTACAAAGAATTTGCCTTCATTTGCCCTCATGTTTTCTGCTACGGGTCTTCCATTCACTGATATCCTTCCGGAACCCCAGACCAGTCATTTAGCATGAAGTTTACCAAATTAACATTCAGATTGCATTTGCCTGTGTCCTCCAGTATATGCCGCACCCTGAAAATGAATGATCACTCTTGATTCAGCTGATTTACCTTTGTCTTCAACACGATGAAGTTTGGAAACCGTATTCATTTTGAGAATACGAAATGAAAGCGAATTTTATCTCACAGGTATTCAAACCTATTCCAACTATACAGACACAACAGCTATATTGAAAACACTCAACATGAATAAATATATGTTTCGCAGATTTCACTTGAGGGCCTTTACGATCAGATCTGTGATAAACATACGCGAATACAAGGGAGAATATCAGTTCATTGGATTGTCGAACAATTAGCTAGTCATGTGAGTAATGGAGGATTTGGTTAAATTTCAAATGTAAATTCGTCGTGTATATAGCAAATGAAGCGTGAACTGAAAAGCTAGGAAGCACTGCAGAGCTGTTTCTTCCTAGCTGGGTCTCATCAGCAGTGCGAATCTACCGATCCAACTGAGGATCGAACCCGGGACCTCATGACTGAACGCAAGCATGCTACCCAATCGGCCACCGGGCGGTTGATTTAGACTATTTTTCGATCCTTAGTTGGATCGATGGACTCGCACCCCTCATGAGACCTAACCAGGTAGAAACAGCCGTCCAGTTCTTCCTGGGTTTTCCGTTCACGCTTCATTTGCTATATACACAACGAATTCACCTTTGAAATGGGATTTCGTTTTTGGTTTGCCGTATTCGTGATTTTTCGATCGTATGAACTCAAAAGTGACCGTTAAACTAATCGTGCTATCCGTTACACAAACGTCTTTCAGTTATTGTTGTCTGCCTCGCTCCCGGAATCGCAGCATCATTCTGTGTTTTGTGTTTGTGACCACTCAGTGCAATGTTCAACCGTATACACAATCCCTATTTAGTTTTTCTATCATTTTCCTGATCTATCCGTCTAATCTGTCCGTGGAAGCGCAACAACTAAGAATAGGAACCGGACGTCAACCTTCGCTTCAGCTGGGAGCCTGATTGCGTGTCATGGATTGTTGGATTTTCTCACCATCTCGGAACATCAAGATTCTGGATAGAATGCAGAAAAATGTCGTTCAACCGACTAAATATGATTGTAATATATTCAATAATAATATTCCTTGTGGAAGATTTTACGTTTTTCAACTTCTGTGAATAACTTACCACCATCTTAAACTTTGCATAAGGCAAATATGAAGCTAGATAGGTTAACAATTCTCTAGGTGAAACTCATTTGTTCTACCCACTTTTCGGATTTGACCATCAACTTGAAAAGCTGTGTGCACTTTTGTTCTTAATGTCGTGGGGGAGTCACAGGCATTTCAGGTGTGTTTTGAACGTATTGTCTTACTGTGAACAACAAAATAAACGTTAGCGCCCAACTAAGCGGATTATGAGATCCCGTTGTTATAAATGACTAAATAACTGCCGTTGTATCAACTTCATTTCCGAAAGCAAGCGTAAACAAAACCGAAAAGTGATGCAGTGATTCGGATTTGATCAAATGATTAAAATTTGTAACACTGATCGCTCACGCTGAAGATCTTCAATTAATTATCCGTCAACGTTTTGTACATGTGATCCTATTGGGGGTAAATCCAAAGCTGTCTGTCAGGGTAATAATGTTGCCATTTTGAATACTTAAGGCTGTTTTCACGCGTTAATCGTGCTTACTGAGAAACAAGATGGTTGATCGACAACTTGTGTTTCACGGTAAGTACGAATATAATATCAAATAGCATGGGGCAGCTTTTGATTTATCGACCACACTTTCGTTCCCTACGTGCCAACTACACTAAGACGTCCAACTCGACGTCCATCTCGATAGCACGTTGTCAGACTCCGGTAACTGTGTGACCATCGAAAGACTAAACAATGCATCTTCAAATCTAAGCTAAAAAATAGCTTGTGAAGTGCGCAAAACGCGTCTGTTTTGCACAACTCCTTTTCATAGATTTAATCATTCATCGAATGCAAAATTTAGACTGACACTGAATGCTTCCAGAGCCTACGTCTTTGTTGCGAACGTCAAAGAAACGCGCAATTTTCCAGACTGGGTGAGGAAATTTCATTTGCGCAGTTGCAATAACCATGAACACGCGTGCTATATTCCAACCGTGTTGAACGAAGAAAAGTGTACAAATGGGTTGTGATTCTCCAGAGTTTGCATGTATGCTGGACTTTATCTATGAGAAGATGTTCAGTGGACAAATATGGTATGCTCATTCCTGTTGTAATTTTCACTATTGTTGCATTTGGGTTTATTATATTTGCCACATGCAAGATTTTTGACCAGTTGCTTGAGAATAACAAAACTGAGACTACTAGTTCATTCATTTCCCCAAAATGGCTTCATTCTGTCCTCCTCTTTCACACACACAAACTACTGCTTCATGTGTAATCGAGATGAACATATTGGGGAAAATTACTCATTCAAAACACATGTCAAATCCACAGACGTTTTTATATATTCTAATGTAGTAAAGCAAATTTAGCTCAAAATGATTTGCTTCACACACAATGTTCGAAAAGGAGTTCCAGCGAATAAGGTAATGGAAAAATCACAATGAATCTTCACGTTTCGAAATGGACAGCCTAAATATGAAAAATGCAATACGACAACACTTACCTTGAATGCTGAAACCGAACAGATTAACCATTGATTTCAAATTAATTTCGGCCCTGGACCATTTGAAAAAGATTCTTACCTGCTCCATAACGGTAAGTCTATGAGATAGTTCCATTCTTGACGGTTGCAAATGAAATCGTACACTAATATTTTGCAAGATTCCATACAACGGAGAAAGTGATACACTGCGAGTGTCCCAGTATAGTTGTCCCGGGGGTAAACGATGTACGATCGCTCCGGTAGTCAAATTTGGTGTGAGCATACGAGCACGATTTCGAAATGCGTCCAGATTCGCTTTATCCAGCCAAGCCAGACTATCTTTCATCTTTGGTTCAACATCCATAGCTTCGTTGAACAAACGTTTGGCTTCCTGAATTTGTGGACATAAAGTAAACCCGGGAACTTGATCGTATAGAACATTTCGACCGGAATAATCCAATTGGAACACAGTTTGATGACGACAGTATTGGATAACAACCAGAGTTATACACGAACACAAACCAACAAACATTGTTGCCGTGAAAACGGCCCACAGGAGTCGTAACGATCGTGAAGGAGCATTGGCAATTTTGGCGAGTGGCACAAGGGAACTTTGAGAAAAAAGTGAGTTAAATCCCTTCATTTTATGAAAATCTCTAGTGATGAGATAACCAGTGTAATATGCTTAGTTATTTGCAATTTAGGGGTTCCTATATTACCGGATAGTTCTTAAATGAATCACCTTATTCCCCTGATTGCAATATGTAAACAGACGTGACGGTGTACCCAAAGAACAAAATGCTCATTCATGATTGGTTACCTAGTCACATCCAATCAGAAGAGTAAAGAGGGTGCGTGTTAATATCAAGGTCGATACACGAATCTAGATTCGATGCAAAACAAAGCAATTAGATTGTTTTGTTGAGAGTTTAAACCTAATTTATCTTAAGCAACAGTTATTTCATCAATAATTGCCCTATTCTGCATACAGATGGCTTTGAACATCTATATAAGCAGTTCGTTTCCGAAACAGGAAAAAATGATAAAACGGTTAAAAAGTTTATCCTGCTAACAATGGATTGCCATTGATCTTGGCAGTTTGTGACAAATCGGCATAATCTCATCCTCAATATTTATCAAAAAGCGAACCACACAAGGATGACGGGGTTTGAACTTGCAACTTACAAGCCAATATGTTACTGATTTTAACCGCTCGACCACCGTTTTTTTATTGGAGCTAGCAGGCTACTGAACACGGGAGAAATTGTCCGCTTGATGAGCGATTTCATGTGTCCCGCGTCCGGATATATGGTATTCACTTAGTAGAACTATCACTTTCTGAGTTAAAATAATTAAATACCATTGAGTAGGTTCAACAGTAACATCGGCAAACTATCCCAAATACCGATCAGGTTCATTAATTCACTTCGCGGTTCATCAAACAGCAACTCGGGCAGTGCTTAAAGCACAAAATCTATTCACTTGAAAAATAAGATACTGGTAACCGTCAGACGGATTGGATGGAACGAAATCACTGGTCCGTGCGTTTCCCACTCAGTCGGTTTCCCACACATGACCCAGAATATCGAGCGCAGTTCGGTTTTCTCGAATCAACGATGCAGAAGCACATAACGCTCAATATCTTCCAACAAACACAAAGACAGTCCTCGTCTACTCTAAACACCCGCCAGGCCAGGAATTGAAGCATTCACGTTGGGATATATTGAGCGTTATG